AATAACAGCAAAAGTTGTCCAGTTACAGTAATAAAAAAAAAAGTCAGCAAAAACAAAATGGGGCCCAGTAGTCCAATATTAACAATGCATTGACAACAAACGTAGTTGGTTTTCAACAACTTCTGTTGTTCTCGAACAACTGAGCTGTTGGTCAACAACTGAGCTGTTTTTTAACAACTAATTTTTACAGTGCACTGGGATGGCGATGAGCGGCCCATCGCCACTGTAGTGGTAGTAAAAATGTCCCATTTCCAAACGGGGTTCATTGCCAAAAATGCGCTTCATTGCCAACCAAGTGGCAATGAAGGCGCCTCACACTGGGCCAAAGCACCGAAAATTTGGCAAAAAATCATTTAACGAAAACACGCTCTTGGGTTTGTAAAAAATCCGAAAAGCCCACAATATTCAATGTGGTCTAAAAAGGCTTCACGTGCGCATACTGGGCCTCAAATTAGAATTCGTTTTTCAAAGATATTGGTCTAAAGCTGTTGTGCCAGAATATTATCCTACGACTTTCTTTCAAATTTCGTTGTTCTTAGACAAATAAGGAGCATCAACTGATAAATATATATGTCGGCCTAGATCATTATTTCTACTACTACTTAGTTCATTTAAGTGGGGAGTGTCAGTTTATGGCGATACGCGAAACTGGAGTCCGACATCCATCCATAAACCCCAGCCCCTTTCCCCTTCCCCACCTCTCACCGCCGGTCACCTGCCAGGGCCCAGCCACAGGCTCATCTTTGGCCGACGACTTCCATTCAAATTTCATTTGTCTTAGAAAAACAGGGAGCATGGAGTGATATAGATATTTATTATTATTATTATATATTATTATTAATTCTACAACTTGTTTGGGGTTGGCGAAAGGGACACGGTTTAAAGCGATAAGCCGAACCCGACACCCGTCCGCCGACGCTGAGTTAGTCGTAAAAGACCCTCCTCCCCCCTCTCTCCCTCCTGCCCGGCGCCCAGTCTGGCCCAGCCACTGGGGCGGCCAGCCCAGAAGTGCACGACAAAATCTTGGACGACGCACGACGCACAACGCACGACGAGACCTCTGCTTAAGGCTTCGCTTTTTGCGCTTTAGCGCATGCGAAGCCTAATATTGAAATATCTTCTAAAAGGTCTAAAGAATCAACTACCGATCATAACAGTGATAAAACATAAAGACATTACTTAAAAAGTTGATTTTAAATACCGTCCCGGGAGAGAGGGGCACCCAGGTGCGTCAGACATTTATTATTCAAAACTGTAGATTAGGTTTGTACATCAACCAGAGACCATTTCAAATATACAGTTTAGACGTTTTGCTACTATTTCTCTTCATTTAAAGGCTGTATCAGGTTAAGCGGTTAGCAGTCAGCAGTTTAACAGTTCTGATTAGCAGGTTTACAGACGAAATTTGTTTACTATGAACATAATTTAGGCATTCAAATGCTTTCTATGAAGAAATATACCGACCCGAACATCCAGCATTGCTCTCGCCCGACGGAAAGCAGAGATCATTGTTTTCGGGGGATATTAGCACAACTTTCGAGAATAATCGTGAATCATTATTCTGCCGGACGGTTGGCGATGTTTCTTGGATCATAAAGACTTACAAAAATGTGTTAAAAAGTGATAATTTTGGTCACACAACTTCAAATCATGCATAAAGCATCTGCTAATCTGCTAACTGCTAACCGCTTAACCTGATACAGCCAAAGATGCCAAGTAAAAGGGACCGAAAATGACGCAATTTTTCACCATTTCCACGTAATGTTATCGTATTAACACTAGAAGGACCGGAGGGGTCAAAATGACCCCTTTTGATCTTTAATTGCCAAAGGAACAACGAATTATTTTTTTGAGCGATTCGTCACTTTCCGACTTTTCATGTACTACCGACAGACGCTTGGACGCAAAATGGGAGGTCTCTGCGACAAGAACTTTGGAAGATATTGCTACTTATACCTAGAAGGACCGAGGGGGTCATTTTGACCCCTTCACGAGATTTCATAAGTGTAAACTGACGAGGACTTACTTTTCCATCATAAGGCTGACCGTATTTGTTATGTACGGTGGCTTATGACTTTTGGTCGGCTATGTGACTCTTTTTCACTCCTTCATTCAGGGAAGGTAGGCAACACGCACGTCACAACACCCCGTTTCTAAATTACAACACATCCAAGGCTTTAGTGGTAGTTGCGTCACCGGACTCGTGTTCTGATGGCAAAGGGGGCCTTCTAGCACAAAGTACGGATGGTTTTGCGAATGCCAAAACTTCCACGCACATTGTTGTCAGTGCCAAATTGGTAAAAAATAAAATGTTTTTGTGTGAATCACACTCCCGCTTTTAGAGTACTTATGTGTTCTAAAGATCACGTGATTATAAATGTGAACTAAGTCAGATATTAATTTTAAAGTTTAAAAATGTCTTAAATGGTGCAAACAGTTAACAGAAATAGCTGTAAAATTGCAAAAAAATTGTTTTATGCCGTGCGGGTTGCCTACCTAAACACACTTTAAACCTAACTTATGTCACGTCATGGCATCAGGTACCTTTAAACACACAAAACCTTAATCATGCGCGATAAAACGGCAGTCTTGAAGCCATAAAAACGGCCAAAAATCGTAGAGGGGTCAAAATGACCCCTCCGGTCCTTCTAGGTATACGAAAATCCCGGTCCTTCTAGTGTTAATAACCGGCGTTAAACGCCAAGATCTAAGTAAAATATGAAAGGAGGGACCTTTCTCTAACTTATGCCAAAATTTGAAGCTCCCGTTTTCTCCCGGTTGCTGATAAGAACCAAATACATATAGTTCTGCATCGTCTACCCACGGGCCGGTGGAGACCGACTAACCCCACTTATCTGGCGCGGTGCGATGCAACGTGTGCAGTGATTGGCTTCACGTTTGAAAGACACTTGCTGATTGGCTGCATGAACTGAAGGAAAGCGCGCGAGGTTTTCAAAAAGACCTTTGACACCTCACGGGTTCATTTGAAATTAAAATTAAAATATTTGGGTAATCTCAAGCTAGGGGAGTTGATTGAAGGACACTCTACCGAAAAATACATAGGAACATATTTGATGCCAGCTTTCTGGTGTTCCGGCCCAGTGTGCGCCTTCATTGTCAATAAATGGCAATGATCATTGCCAAACAAAACACATTGTATACCAATCCTTACTAAAACAGATGACCGTAATATTGGATGTTTGGGCAAATAACCGATGGAAGGAAAACGCTTTCATCCTGAATTTTAAAAACAAAGCGTGCACGAATTTTAAAAATAATAGCCCTAGCTTTTTCGAACACTTGTTTAAGAAGATTAAAGGCCCTTGCATAATCCGACCTGTAAGTACTTACATTGCAGGTTTGCTTCTCTCATTCCTTATAGTTTTGTAGTAATTTATGTTAAAAAGTACAAAAGTGTTATAAATTTAAAATCAGGGATCTTTTCCATTTACAGGGAGTTTACGAGCTCAAAGACGCCCCAGTCAAATGGGAGTATCCCAATATACCAATCATGCCTTATGGACGATATAAGTTCAAAGTGACGGGAGGGAAGACTGCTGAGCCACTTCTATGCTTGGTAGTGGACGTTAGGACAATTCCTAAAGTCGATTAACACACTAAAACGTGTATTGTTCGTTTATTGCCGTACACACTGCATAATATCTGGCAGCTTTTGAGCGAGTTCCAAATAAATAGTTTAAACAAAACAGCGCATAACAACTTCGGCTCTTGCTCTTGGTACTTATTCCTTCCACAAGTCTATTCTTCGCCCTTCGCGATTTCACGCTGACGAAGGTGTAAAGCCCGACAGCAATATTATTACACGAGTTGCTCAAAGTACAGGAACGTACTGTCCCGGAAATCCCTTCGTATGATAGCATTTAGTGTGAATCTACCAATCTTGTTATAGCACGCCAGCCGTTTAGGCAGCCGTTCCTGTGCCTGACTGAGGTATAAAATGGCATAGCCGCAGTACGGACTTCAGTTTTGGTCAGGGCAGAGCAGGACGCCGTCTGTATACTGTGTCCACCACGGGCAAAACATAGGGTAAAGAGCACCTCAATGTTTCTTTACAAGTGCGCCGCTTAACTGCAATTGCAATCTGGTGATCGAAGATGTCATTCATACGTGTGGCCCTTCTCGCACTCCTGTGCCAGAAGGGCACCCACAGCAAAGCCATCAACTCCTTCGCGGTAAGCTTAAAGGGTACTTTGGAAAGTACATTTCTTAACTGCTCACTGTTAAAAAAGCTGTAAGGGAATACACTTTGCCTACAGTCCGTCCTGTATATTTTATGTACGGGCCGGAATGTAAAGATATTGACCGTACTTTACTGTCAAGTCAAGTGCTGTATTGACCAAAAAGACGGTTTGCGAAGTTACGGTAATCAGAGCGGACCGTAATCAAAAATACTGTCGCGGACGTAGAAACAAATTGACAGGGCTCACTGTACAATTTTCTGTAGGTTTTTTTTCAACAGTGCTCTGGAAACCCAAGTGTGTACAACCTAAAAGCTTATGAATATTTTTATTCATAGCTTACTATTCATAGCTTACTGAGTTCTGTGTGCGTGCTCGGCTTACGCATTTTTTAATACGCCAGTATGAACAAATTTGTACGCAAGCTTTTAGAATGTACATGTATGCGTTATTTGCTGAATACCTACATGTATGCAGCAAATACAGCGTACATAATCATGTATGCAGCAAATAGTATGTGTACATGGCCATAATGTACACACGTAGAGCCCTATCCCTGGTAGCCCTGCCCGACATAATCTTTGTTGGTCGGGAGTCGGAATATGTCCAATATTAGTCGGACGTCGGAGAAAGTCGGAATATAGTCGGAAATGTGTCGGATGTCGTGAGTGTCGGATGTCGTAATGGAAATGAACTGTCGGAGGGAAGTCGGAAAATGTCCGATATCGGAGGTCGAATTGTCGGATAGCGGATAACTGTCGGAAGGCAATTGTCGGGAGGGTGGAAGTCGCGTGTCGGGCTGTCTGACGTCGGGGGTCGGGACGTCGGATGTCAGAAACGCTCGTCGGGGGATTGAGTGCGACTCCGCACTTCAGCGGGAAGCATGTCGGACGGCGTCCGACATCCCTAATGTCGGGAGTCCGATGTCGGTACGTCGGATGCACTTGTCGGGGTGTCGAGACGCGGCATGTCGGGGGATCTCCGACACCCCCGACGGAGGGTGTCGGGAATCGGTATGTCGGACGTCGGATAACGGACGCGTTTGTCGGGAAGTCGAGACATCCTTCCCTCACTTCCCCGTTAGGTCGACATGTCGGACAGTCCGACTCCCCCGACGTAATCTTTGTCGGTCGGAGCTCGGAAAATATCGGAAATGTGTCGGAGATCGGATGTCAGGTTGTCGGGTACGTCGGACGATTGTCATGAGTCCACGGTTGACAGCGATGTCTGCGTGGCCTAGTGGTCTAAGGGGTGGAACGTCGTGCGAAAGGTGTGAGGTTCGACTCCGGGTAAGTACAAAAGGTAAATCTGAAATTAAAATGTGAAAATACCATGATCTGCAGTTGAGGGGGGAGGAGGGCTAAGACGGTGCGATGACAGGGGGAAAGGTTGGGCGAAAAAAGTTAATCTTTAAATTCTCGTCCGAACATTAATTTCCTCCGACCTCGACTACCGACATACCGACATCGACCTCCGACATATGATGTCGGAAGTCGCACATGCACCATTCCGACATATGTCCGACTTCCTCCGACGTCGGGAATAGTCGTAAATGTGTCGGTGGTTGGTCGTTTCATTAGTCGGAAAAATGTCCGAAAAATGTCGGACCAGGCTACCAGGGTATGCTAAATGCTATGTGCCGTAGTGTGTACCTGGCCATATCTACACACTATTTGCTGCATACATGATCATGTACACACTTGGGTTTCTAGAGTGCCCACCGGTGCCTACTTGCAATTTGGATAACGTAGGCAACAAAGTTCCACGTATTACATTGTACTTAGTCTTCTATGTATCACGGACCTGTTTCGTTTTACTTTTCCATACAGGGCCCTTACACACTTTACACCGAACGCTTTTATATGTGTGAACTAAATCGCTCGTTTCCTGCTTGGGGATGGCATTTCCGTACTACTCGCTTCAATCCATATAAACCAAGAGAAATTCAACTACTAACTGGCAACTTAACGGTTAGTCAGCCTATGGATGACAGCTCCTGGGTAAGACATCGTCCCGTTAGGTAACCCTTGATACCAACCTTGAATCTTATTTGAAGACGCTGATTAAAAATAGTATTAGAAACGACTTCATGTGTGGCTATACCAATCTTTACTAAAAACAGGGGAAAATAGTAATGGATGTTTGGGCACATGACCAATGGAAGGAAAACTCTTTCGTCTTTGAATTTAAAAACAAAGGATGCACGAATCTTAAACAAAATATCCCTAGCTTTTACGAACATGCATTTAAGAAGAGAGAAACTAAAGCCTCTTGCATTATCCGACCTGTGAGTACCTACACCTACATTTCTACATTCTCTCATTGCTTATTATGGTTGTGTAGTAATTTATGTTAAAAAGTACAAGAGTAGAATAAATTAAAAAGCTGGGATAACTTTTATTTACAGGGAGTTTACGAGCTAAATGACGCCCCAGTTAAATGGGAGTATCCCAATTTGCCAATCATGCCTTACGGACGATATAGGTTGAAAATGAAGGCAGGCAATACTGACCCATACTGTTGCTTCATGGTGGACGTTAGGGTAATCCCTAAAGTCGATTAACACACCAGAACGTACAGAGCGGTCCGCAGACCCCTTCCTTTATTTTGCTTATACTGTACCGCATGCATCTGGGCGGGCGGGCTTGCCTACTGTCGCTCACCATGGGCGCCTTATGGCCCCGTGTGAGTATGCAACCCGTCCGCACGCCTGCATGCGGTACAGCATAAGCAAAATAAAGGAGGGAGTCTGTGGATCACCCTGTATATTGTTAGATTATTGCCACACACACTACATACCTGGTATATTTTGCGTGAGTTCCAAATAAATAGTTTAAACGGCGCATAACAACTAACTTCGGCTATGGTACTTATTCATTCCACTACTCCATTATATAGGTCCAAGGCACGCTGTTTCCTCATATTGGTGAAAATCCCCATCATGAAATAAAATGAATGGCATTCTATTCAAATAACTTGAGAAAATATTTTCCTAAACCTGTACATAAAGTTGGAAAATTTAATTTTAAAAACTAACCACTAATCACCTCAAGAACCGTGATCAGATGTTTTATAGGATTATGTATCGGGTCGCGCAAGGATGCGAAAACCGCCGAGACCTGAAGGTACAAGCAGGCAAACAAACCGGCGCATCCTTGCGCTGTGAGGGGAACTTTGCTGCCGTTTTATGTCGAAATCCGACAGTCATCGAATTCCAAGAGGGATCTGTTTCAGGTGGGATGACCCTTCTCGAAGTGATTCGGAGTACATCGACTGCAATATGCCACAGTGAGAATGCCCTGGGAGGGCAATTGAGTAAGGCACTCGCATCTCGACACACTCTCTTCGCCCTTAAAAATAATATCTCTCAGCCTTCTCCGTTATTGCGATATCACTTTTACACACATCGTAAAACTCGTTTTCATGTCCCCGTGATGCTCGTCGCTGCTCCCCTCACACCTCCCGCGTCGCCTCGCGAGTGCGAGCGTGGCATCTCACGTTCTATTCGTCAGGCCGACCCCTTCAAGCAGACGAAGCCCGCGCGGGTCGCTCACCCGCAGTTAGAGCCCCACGATGGGAGAGCTGAGCTACGAGCGCTAAATGCCTGACACCACCACCAACCACACCACCCCTACCTTTCAGAGAAGGTGTCTAGCTCGCGGAGCTCGCAGGGGGGCTCTGAACCCGCAGGTCCATCGCGGGCGGGAGCTGGGACGAGTTGCGAAAACCAAGTAGTACCAGCCGGTACAGTAGTCGTGTTTGGGACGAAATGTCAAAAGTGTGAACCATGTGCCGCGCAGCCGCGAATACAGAGAGAGAGAGATAGAGAGAGAGAGGGAGAGAGAGAGAGAGAGAGAGAGAGAGAGAGAGAGAGAGCGC